GATGATAATATACCTTGACGTGGATGTTCTATCATCAAAGTTCTTTATCCAATTAGTATCAACAAAGGCATGGAGATGAAGTGAGATGAGTCTGCAGAGAAAGAAGCCATGATTGAGGATCCCTTTAAGATATCGTAAAATTCATTTGACCATATACCAATGCATAGTAGATGGTCAATGCATAAATTATGATAATTTATTGACTGCAAATGAGATGTCTGAATGGGTGAGAGCTAAGTACTGTAAGAAGTTGAGTACTTATCGATATTGAGTATAATAGATAGCAGGGCTTCCATCATATAATTTGATCACTTGTAGAGAGGGGAGTTGTAACCAATTTTGCATCTTACATGTTTGTCTTTGATAATAAATCTTGAATATACTTTCGTTATGATGGGAAGAGACCTAAAAATGTAAATATTGCTTCAACTCCCAAAAAATAGCTCAAGATTCCTATATTTTTGAGGGAGAATCGATCGACCAATTGCTTTAGAAATGTCTGAGTCTCCAAAGGATCATTGATTGTAACAATAATATCATCCACATACACCAAAAGATATATTATACCTCAATTTTATTGTCGTAGGAGTAACAAGGTATCAGACTTAGAATTAATGCATCTAGTTGATATCAGAAACGAGCCAAGTTTAGTATATCAAGCTCTTGGAGCTTGACGAAGTCCATAAATAATTTTTTGTAGTTTGCAGACATGCCTCCGATACTGAGGATGAACGAAATTATGAGGTTGTTTCATGAAGACATCTTAAGTTAGAGACACCTGTAAAAAGACGTTGTTAACATCTAATTATCGTAGGCACCAACTTTTTGAGATGACCAAACTCGGGATAAGTAGAATTGTTATGGGTTGAACAAGGAGACTGTTCGAAAAATCTGGAGGCGACATCACATGCGCAACGAAAGAATAGAAAACAAAATCAACTATTCTCAAAGAGATGTTCGTCTTCGTGCGAAAATTGGTGCGTAAAAATCTACGAAACTTAAAACTGCGTATAAGATAAATTGTGTTACCTAGGGAGATCGTATATTATAGAATTCTTATATGTTCTGTCAATTACAAAACATGAAAACATGAAATAATTGCTTGAATCCCATCTTTTCTTCCTTCTAGAATATGTTCTTTCTTTAAAATCCTATCATGTTCCAACCCTAGATTTTTAATTGACTTGAGTTATGATAGTTGGTTCAGGCAACCTATCATCATACTTCAAATACATCTCATAGTCAATCAATTTATCATAGAGTTTTCCGAATAATATTGGTGAGTTGCTTGCCTGAATTGTCGTTGTCATTTTTTTTTTGTACTCGCCTCCAAGGCCATTAAGGGGTATGGACTAGGACTTCTTCATCACTGAGGGAATGATTTATCAAAGCTAAGTTATCAATGATAATTTTGATATTTTAAAAATAATCAGTAATAGTACTTCCGTCTTGTTTCATTTTCATTAGATTGGATAAAAGTCTGAGCATGTGAGTACGTGAGCGATTTGCCAAGGTGGTTTGCAACTTGGACTATGCTTCTGCAATAGTTTTATATAAAGACATCAGTAGAGCGACGGACCCAACGATTGAGGTTTGAAAAGCTTAGAAGATGAGATGATCTTAACGTAATCATAGTTTGTGGGTTAGATTTGATACTGGATTGAGTTCTCTTGAGATGTTGACCATTGCAGGTGGACAACAGAGATAGTCGTCGATGTAGCCTAATAAATCATATTCAAATAGGAGATTAGAAAATTATAAATGCCAAGTGCATAATTATCGTCTTTAGATAATTTGAAGGGAATGAGTGCTGCAACACATTGACGATGATAAGGCCTGTAGGTTAAAAATATTTTGAGGATACGTACAGGAGGAAAAGTTTGAGAGTGTCAATTGTAAAAAAGAGGTGGAAGAGAGCTGCGATGAGGAGCGGGGCTTCTTCCAGAGGCACGATTGTTGCAGGGAGCAAGGCAAAGTTGCTGCAGTTCTATAGATTTTGTGGCGGAAGATCTGAGTGGTGAAGAAGTTGTCGTCACGTCAGATTCATCAGAAAGTTGGCTACCGGAAGCTCTCCTGTTGTGACTATGGGAGTTCTCGGATCGTAAGATCGGGGATGGAGACTGTGTTGTTGAAGAGGAAGGCAGCAACGGGAAGAAAGGTGGGACGGGGCGCTCGGGGCAGGCAGAGTGCCCTGCGGTAAGGGGAGAGTGCCCACCGTGGATTGCTGTTGCCATGGGCAGCCGGACTTTGCAGATGTGATGGCGGTAGTCGGCTGTGAAATTTTCCGGATGTAAGCTGCGGCTATGGGGAAGAGGAAGGCGCGATAGATGACACCAGGTAGTAGGCGTTGAATCTGGGTGCTACAGAAGGAGCAAAAGATTACAGGTAGCGGCGTCAATTTCTAGAGCAGCGACACCTCGATGATGCACCTTGATGTGCTTTGGTGTGGGCTGAAGTTGCGGCCTGGAGGAGCAGTTCAGAGTAGAATCCAACTGATGATGGATGAGAGGAAGCAGAAAAGGATGCTCTCCAACAGGGAGTCGGCACAGAGGTCACAGAGGAAGAAGCAGTAGCACCTGGAAGATTTGACAACCCCAGCAGTTCTGTTGTAGAATGAGAAGAACCGGACGTTGATCCAGGTCTGTACGCTACAACAGCAGTATCTGTGTCTGGATGCCCAGAACACCAACCTCAAGAACCAGGTGAGAGAGTCACAGAGAAGCTGAAATCTATGAACTCTTTGCTTCGCTTCGTGGAGGAGTTCGACAGTACGACGATGGAGGTATAAATTGTGACACCGGATCCAATTCTCGAGCCATGGCAGCTTCTTCTTGGTCGGCCAAGCTGATCATGGCATCTGCCGAAATGCACTATTTTGATGTCCAGCCTTTGTTTGTATCTTCTTTATCCTGTTATGGTAATGCACTTTGTGTGATAATGTATTAAGGCTGATGTTCAGCCTTTGGTTGTATCTTCTTTATCCGGGAGTGATTGGGGTTCGACTGCCTCCTGTAGCGCCGTCACAATCGGGTTTGCTTGGCGTGGATGCCTGTCTCTGGAGAGCAGTAGAGCGGTGAGGACGAGCAGAGAGCGGCCTGCGACCAGAGGATCGCAGTCGCCGAAGGAAGAGAAGCAGCAATAGATCGCAGCCGAGATCTATTGGCGAAAAGCTCTTCATTGGTGAGGAGGGGTGAAGGTCAGCCGCTTGCTGCAGATCAGGTGATGGCGGTCGGCGAGGAAGAAGGGGGAGCAGTGTTGGCGAGCGCGGCAATAGAGGCACCGCTGCCGGAGGGAACGCAGTAGATGATATCCTGTATTGCTGACATAGGACCCTTCAGGGCTACAGTGAGCGGACACTGGCGCAGAGCGGCAGCGGGAGAAGACAGTCATCGTTTGCCGAGAAGGAAAGCGTTGATCTGATCAACGTCGCCGAAGGTGGCAGATCGTTGTCTCCTGGGCGATTCTGTCGTGATAAGGAGGGTGATGCAGCACCTGCGCTTTCTTTGGGAGCGTCGTTCGCGGGGAAAAGACGAAGAAAGAGGGATGCTGCGCTGAAGGGAAGGGGCCGCCTTGCGCACGAACGCAAGAGAAGGGGGAGAAGACCCTCGACAGGAGATGTGGTGCTTGCCTTTGGAGCAGCAGAGGCAGCAGCGCAAGTTCTCTGGTAAGCGATGCAAGTTTCCACGGTCTTGGTGCCGGTACAGCAAGAGGACGCGCTCCTCGGGCGCCGCCGAGGGAGAGGCCCGTCAAGGAGAGCTTGTAGACGCGGCCGTTGTTGCAGGTAACCCCCTCGAGGTAGGAGGTGAAGATGTTGCACGGGGCAGCGAAGGTGGCGGCCGTCCAGTTTCGGAGACTGCTGGTCGCGTCCGTCAAGGAGTTGCGCAGGTTGGATAGGCACGCCTCATCGTCCAGATCAGAGAGTGCCGACGGCAGGAAGCGAAGTAATGGTAGTAACTGATAAGGTGTGCTGGAGATGGCTGGGATCTAGAAGCGGTAGTGCGGAGCTGCTGGCCGTCGGGGACGAAGGCCGCGCTGATGGTGCCACTCGAGGAAGAGCTGTAGGAGGCAGCAGCGGAGGGAGATAAAGGTGGCTCCTTTGTGGGTTTCCAGCGTGCGTTCCTCGGCCGGAATGGCCTTAAAAGCTGGAGGAGCTTTACAAGCCCTACTTCCCAAAGTCCAGTAGCAGCAACGGTCGAGGTGGAGTCCGTCACCGTGCTTTGCTGACGCCGTTGCGGGGCCGTCCAAGGAAGTGATTGGGAAAGGGCGTCGAGGGAGGAAGAGAAGAGGCGGCAACGGACACGCCAGTGAGGAACGACCTGTGGCAGTGGAAGATGGATGCGGAGGATCTCGTCAGTCCACTCCTCGACGTCGGGCTTGAAAGCGCAATGTTGTCCGTCGCTGGACAGCGAAGAGGAGAAAATAATAATAATCTTGTTTAACGCAAGGGCTCACTTGAATTAGTTGAGCATAATATTTATTTATACATATTAGAAAAAAAAATTCTTATGTATTTAGAAAAATCTTATCTACTATCATACACTCACCAGCAATCGTCATAACGTAGATCTTCGTGATCTTGTTAAGAATTCCACATTGGTGACGCCACACGATAGAAGAAAGAGCTTAATCTCTGCTACTGTTTTCTTGCGGAACAGGAGGGAGCAGCAGCTTGGATATGTTATGGTCTCTGTAGATCTCCGTTTCATCACTCTATTCGCATAGGAGCCAGAGCTCATTACATCGAAGCTCCTGATAAAACAGAGGAGATGGTGGTTCGTACGGAGTGCTGCAAGTTTACTGGTTTTTTTTGGACCATCCGTGGATGAACATGTGTCGGGTGCAATCATTCACAACCAAGCTAGGCGTGAAGGTGGAGCAGGTAGATGTCCTCGGAAAGAAACGTTGTAGCTAGCGATTTAGATGATTGCTGGAGAATAGGCTGTGGCTTGCACCGGACGTGTCGTGTTATCAGAACACCCACAAGAGTAAAGAAGAGGAAAGACGCAAGAAACTTAGTGCTTCATTTATTGACGATGACGACAAATCAACCAATACAGCAACACAACAGTCGAAAACAAAGCTAGAGTTCACAGAACTCTCAACAACTAGTAGAAGAAATCATTTGTACAGACGAACGAATCAATCACAGAGCAGCGCCACCATCGTATCACCACTTCCTGCAGACAAGAGCAGAAGATCCAAGAAAGGAACTTTGAACAACTCTTTCCTTCAGAACAAAGAAGTTGAAGATAGAAAGCAAAATGGATGTGTCAGAAGTAAAGGAAGGAAAAGACCAAAAGAGTTTGGTACCTTACAGAGGAGCTCCGAGGAGCAATTTTACTTGGTTATGGCGTACACCGCGTAGATGATCCCGGGGATGTAGCCCAGAATCGTCAACAACAGGCAGATCCAGAACTCCGCCTGCTCAAGAACGATAATTAGCTGATTTGCTCGTGAGATGAAGAAGAGGGATACGCATGCATACAACATCACTGCACACACGCACCTTGCATCCGAACTTGAGGAAGACACCGAGCGGAGGGAGGATGATGGCCAGAATGATATCGATGCAGTTGGCTGTGCCCTCGTCCGCCATTAAGTCGATCTCAACCAAGCACAGCGAGAAGAAGAAGAAGAAGAAGACGACGACGGCGACGTCAGGCAGATGTGGGAGAAGAAGAAAGAAACCACGGTCACTAAATAGACAAAAAAAACCACACGTGCAGATCACGTGAGCATCGTCCCCTTCCTCTCTTTTACTTCTCCGTGTTCGCTTCGCTGTCTTCGTCTCTATCTTCTTCTCTCTTTTCTTCAGTAAAGCTAGACCTACGCGACATTGCCGACTTCTCCTTCTTCCCATGTGCCGTCCCGTCGCTGCCACTGTGGTGGGCCGGACTCTTCTTAGTCAACTCGACAGCCAATGAATCAAAGACATGTTCGAGTTGCTGATTCTTTAGTCTACATTACACAGTATCATTTGCACGAGAGCCAACACACCACAGCTCGGATCAGAAATTTCACGGTGATGTATCATGATGAAACCTAAATCACAGCATTAATAATCACTATATGTTTCATGTCACATTCATGTCGAAGCGGTGGGCGGGTGAGGGTGCCATGTGCCGCTTTAATGGACGTCATGCTTCCCTGGCATCGTTATCCGGTGGCTCCATTCATTGGCACGAGTTAGTAAACTGCATCACGTTGCTGTTAACGTGGGCGGCCGACGGCACCTCGGTGTCGGTGGCGGTGGCGGGTCTACCGGCTCGCCTCCACGCTGCGACGTTTCTTGAGGTGTAGGCGAAGAAGAAGATGAAAGCAAAGGGAGAGAGAGGAGACGAAGAGGGGAAGGAGCAAACAAAAGAAGAAACGATAAAACAAATTTGAAGGAACATAATAGTTATATTTGTTGTTGGTAAAGCTGATGCATTAATAGAGAGCTACCCAAACATTTACACTGTGGATATGTGAACAGTGAGAGCCCATCAAGTCCACGGGCTGGCCCAGTAAAAGCCCATCTACCACCTCCAGCAATCTGATTGCATCCCCATGTAATTCATGTTTCATATGTTAGTCATAGATTAAGCTTTAAGGTGCAATTACTAATTCAATAAATATAAACTATAGAGGAATTTTTATTCATTTAACATAAATAATCAATTCAGAGCATATTTTTAGATGTAATATAAATCATGATAATGAGACTCAAATAGAAAATAATTATTCACTGACGTTCCGAAGATCCATCAAATTACAAAATTTATGAAATAAGATGAATCCATTACAAAAGCTCATCTACCCGAAGATCCATCTAACTATCGGGTCGGTGAATTTATCAAAGTAAACCGAATTAAAATTACCATCGAGTCGAAGATTCGTGTATATAGTATTGCTACTAATTTGATTTTATTTTGATATAGGTGATTAATATGTTATCAACTGAATGGGTGGATTGCATCCAATCACTTGTATCCTTCACATTTCTTATCAAGCCTCCTTGCATCTGCCCTTCTTTCTCTTGGAATCAAAAATCATATATTCTGTATTCGAAATTTGATAGCCATATCCAATCTGTCACTGTACCAACATCCAATCTCATGTCACACTTGTCAAAAAGTACTATCATTGTCAATAAATTGGGTTTTGATGTTTTGAATCTCTCTTTATCATGAACTAAAATACAACTAGCTACTGATCTGATGTTATCTGCATCTGATTGCTTCAATTCTCTTGTGAATTGATGACACATAAAATTATCCATGGAGAAGGAGAAGGGGAATACTGGGATTTTATAGTTCTTCTTCAGTTCCAACCTCAAAAGTGATGAGAGTAGTAATCACCTACTTCCGAATACCTGTAAACCTGTTTGTAGATGTACTTTTTCTTGAATCAAAAGTAAAAGGTGGTTGCTCTTCTTCTCTCTTCTCATGTGACCTCAGTAGGAGCCTCGAGACTAAGGTCTCAGGTGACAACCTCGCAAAAAGTAGTGGCAAAAAGAAAAGGATTGGGAACAGTGATTGTGATTCCTTCATTCTCATGCATGATTATGCTTTCACTTCAACAGTGCATCTCAGTTGTGGTCGTGGGTGGAAAGAGATGTGTTTTGCTGCAGCAGAAAGAAAGAAAGAAAGATGGAAGAGAGAAATGGACAGTTTCACATCCATCCAAGTGGTCAGAAGATTTCTGTGGTGCTATGTGTTTGCTCCTTCATGAAATCCAGCAAACTTGATCATTTCCATTGCAGGAGAGATAAATCATTCGGCAGGCTGTTGTTGGCATGATGTGCCTGTCATTACTTTAATACAAAAGCCCACTAACAGCTGGAGTAAGATTAGAGCATCATCACCTTCTTCTTCAAGTGTTGGTTGGTTGCCCTTTCTTGTCAATTGTCTGTCCTTTTAATGTAAGGGTGGTTTTCTTTTGGAGCTTAGGGAAATGGTGGGTAGGGATCATGCAATCAACAATCACCTCTCATTCAGCCATGTTCTTATCCTGATATCATTGATTTCCAATGGATCATTTTGGGTATTAACCCTACAAACACTTGCTTACAAACACATAAGGAATCAACAATAAATATATTTATGAAGAAAAAATTAAAAATACTTATATTTACGAAAAAAAATTAAAAAACTCTGTAACATGAGAATAAATAAATAAAATGAATACGATTTCTCTCGAATTAATTCAAACACAAGAAACTCTTTACTTATTCTTTTTGATCTAAAATATAAAGTCACTCTCAATTATTTTTTTTCCACCCATCCTCAGGATCAATATAATATATATATATTTTTCAAATATGTCCAATAATCAATCCTAGTGTTTAAAGTTTTTATTTACGTAAGTTCATTATCCTCCGAATTATTTTCTTATTTTTAAAATAATAATTCACTTTATGATAAAGATGAAATTAACGATGCTTAAATCAACTCGACTCGATCCAGGATCATATGCGTAAGAAATCTGATGTGATTGAAGAGGGGTCTCGAATCCTCGATACTTATTTGATGACTGATCAATACGAAAATCAAAATCATGCGAGTTCATCGAAACGATCCCTTTCACGCTTACAAAAACCCAATACGGCCAGAGTAATTTTAGTAAATAAAAATCAATCTCGATTATAGTGCTTAAGTTAATCTTTTATAACCAGTTAATAAAGAGAAATAGTATATTTCGTATTGTATCATTTTTAAGGTTGTTTACGACAGATAAAGTGTTGTTTTAGAGCAACTAATAATAAAAGTAATGGTATACGATACTCTTATGAATCTGACTTGGTGGTTCCTTTGCTTTTGTAATTTCATTTAGGCTGTCTGACGTGGAGCTGACGGTAGACACAGGTCAGTTCATTGGTGGAAGATACTTCGGGTATTCGAACCCGCGATCAATCTCTCCGGAAGAATAATTCCCTGGGCCCTCCAACTGCCACGTGCAGGAAGGGGAGCGGTCCGGGGCCCGCGACCGACGCCTGACAGCTAGCCGCCACCGACGTCCGTGGAGGAGGGGGCCAGGGTGACGCGGCCATACGCGTTGCCGGGCCCCCGGCCGTGGGGAAAAAGGTCTAAGAAACCGGGGACCGCGTCCCCGTCGGCCACACGCACGTGTCGCGCGGCCGGTTGCAGGGTGCGGGTGCGGTTGCGGTTGCCCGTTGCCGTTGCGGCGTCGCCCTCCGACCACGACGTGGGAAGTCGCGCGTAAATTACGTGCGGTCCCGCAGCGGAGCCGCTCCGAGTTCGATTGAAACCGACGGCCGCCCGCCCGCTCTCGTTCGCCGTGACCATCTCTTTGCCCGTATTCATATTCACCACCACAAATTTGTCTCCGCCATTAGAGGATAATAACTCGTAGGCAGGAGAGGAGGACCGTAAAGATATTTAACGATTGATAGAGGTGTGTGTGCATGTCATCCACTGCCACTAGTAGATTGACGTGTTCATGAAATTTATCAGTTTGTGCATCGGATGGAGATAGATTTAACGTACGCCAAGCATGCATGCGCTGTGAATGATAGGTGCAGAAATGTTGATCGATGTTCATCCGGATGATGGAGATGGTGGAATCCTTTGATGTCAGTGTTCTTACGTGCACCTATTTATTATATACTGTCACCGATCCACTCAGTATCACTGCCTCTACATGGATCGAGGATTGAGATGATGATACGTGGAAGACTACCGGTGTCTCACCAGCAAGTGGCCAAATCCTCACGGCTATTTTTCATGCAGCAATGAATTCAGTCTCGTGCTCGGCCTCATGTTTTTCCATGGTCGGAGGAAATACGTAATCATTCTAAACTTTTAATAACGACCTCAAATGTAACAATCATATATCTCACCATAAAAAGATCCCTCGAGTATATCATTTAGATCTAAAATTTTCCAACACTTAGACTCGAACACTTTGATTAAGAGGTGCTCGATTAATTTCCAAGTACAGAAATTACAGGGTCACCAAGCATTTCGTACGATGAATCAGTGCTTTATAGGTGAGCAGATCTTCAAACTGCTGCATATCATTGCTAAGGATAAACAGCTGAGATGATGAATATAGTTCTTCACGGTTGATTTAATTTCATTATGCACCATATGATAGCCGAAATTATTCGAGATTTGCCCAATATTGTTGCCGAGAAAAATGGAAAGAACAAGTATATGTAGATAGTGAAATGGTAAGGGGAAATGGAAAGAGGCTATAAATCCATGCAAGCGTGGAGGCTCCCGGGCTCTGCTTGAACAGCGAAATTATTGAAGCTCTTTCCATCTTAGCCGAGTGCCATTCCTCGCGGGCATTGTCCTTATTGAGAAGGGAACATTACCTTAAAAACTGGGACGTCGATGGACCTCTCCTCTCTTTTCGTGAGCAGTTCCACGAGACGATGACCCTACGAGGAGTTGGGACATTAGGACAGTGGCCTTTGTATCGTGGCGGATGTCTCTCCTCCCCTAGTCACTCTCCCCGGCCACGACCCGTGCATGCTTTCGTTTGGTCTTGCCTGCTTAGTGGAGTTGGCTATGCATTCACAGCCGCAGAATGGCATCTTCTTTGTCGCTTCCCTGACCGATTCATCATTGATGGCTCCTCTTCGAGTCTCGAAGAGGATGTGGGAGTCCCTACGTAGGGTATCGTGTCCTACTACACATTCAACAAGCCATTTTGGAGGTCTTTATCCTCCATTATTTTGCCTGTGTGCATGACATGCATGCACGCAAGGTTTAGATATTATTGAAGGCAGATGAGAGGAGTACTTAATTTTCTAGATAATACATATCTATATACGG